ATTTTATTATTTTTGCTGCAACTATAAATGGGATTGTTTTCTTAATTTCTCTTTATGCTAGTTGATTATTAATGTATAGAAATGCAACAGATTTATGTATATTGACTTTGTATCCTGTGACCTTATGGAATTCATTTATGTTTTAGTAGTTTTTTTGGTGGAATCTTAAGGGTTTTGTATACATAATATCATGTCATCTGCACAGAGTGAAAAATTTACTTTTTCTTTACCAATTTTGATGCCTTTTATTTCTTTTTCTTATCTGATTGCTGTGGGTAACACTTCCAGTACTATGTTGAATAAAAATGGTGAGAGTGGACATCCATATCTTAGGTAAAGGGATCTCATTTTTTCACCATTGAGGATGATGTTAGCTGTGGGTTTTTCATAGATGGACTTTATTATATTGAGGTATGTTCCCTCTAAACCTACTTTGTTAAGGGCTCTTATCATGAATAGATGTTGTAATTTGTCAAATGCTTTTTCTACATCTATTGAAATTATCATATGCTTTTTATCCTTTCTCTTGTTGACGTGTTCTATCGTGTTGATTTGATTTGCAAATATTGAATCACCTTTGCATCCCAAGAATAAATCCCACTTGATCGTGGTAAATGATTTTTTAATGTATTTTTGGATTCAGTTTGCTAATGTTTTGTTGAAGATTTTTGCATCCTTGTTTATCAGCGTTATTGGCCTTGTAGTCCTCTGTTTTGTAGTGCCCTTATCTGATTTTGGTATCAGAGTGATGCTGGCTTCATAGAATGAATTTAGAAGATTTCTTTCATCCTCTATTTTCTAGAGTTGTTTGAGAAGAATACATATTAAATCTTTAAATGTTTGTTAGAATTCATCTGTGAAGCCATCTGGTTTTGGACTTCTGTTTGTTGGGAAGTTTTTTTGTTTGTTTGTTTGTTTGTTTGTTTTACTGATTCAATGTCATTGCTGCTAATTGGTCTGTTCACATTTTCTATTTCTTAAATTATACATATGAGTGAAATCATATGGTACTTGTCTTTCTCTGGCTGACTTATTTCACTCAACATAATATACTCTAGCTCTATCCACGTCATTGCAAATGGTGAGATTTCATTCTTTTTGATGGCTGAGTAATATTCCATTGCATATATACACCACATTTCTTTATCCATTCATCAGTTGGTGGGCATTTGTGCTCTCTTCATAGTTTGCCTATTGTTAATAATGCTGCTACAAACATCGGGGTTCAGGTACCCCCTGGAGTCTGTATTTTTGTATCATTTGAGTAAGTACCTGTTAGTGCAATTGCTGAATCATATAGCAGTTCTATTTTTAACTTTTTGAGGAACCTCCATACTGTTCTCCAGAGTGGCTGCACCAGTTTTCATTCTCACTCATAGTGCAAGATGGTTCCCCCTTCTTGGCACCTTATGTGGAGTATAAGAAACAAAACAGATGACCATATAGGAGGGAGAGAAAAAGAGAGACAGAAACAAACTATAAAAAACTTATAAAGATAGCAAACTGAAGGTTAGTAGAGGGAGGTGGGTATGGGATAGGCTAGATGGGTGATGGATATTAAGGAGGATAGTTGTTGGGGTGCCTGGGTGACTCAATCAGTTATGCCTTCAAGTTCAGCTCAGGTCATGATTTCATGGTTTGTGGATTTGAGCCCTGCATCAGGCTCTGTGCTGACAGTTCAGAGCCTGGAGCCTGCTTCAGATTCTGTGTCTTCCTCTCTCTCTGTGCTTCCCCCACTTATGCTCTGTCTCTCAAAAATAAATTTAAAACATTAAAATTTTTTTTAATGGAGGGCAGTTGTTATGATGAGCATGATGTGTTGTATGTAATTGATGAATCACTGGATTGCACTCCTGAAACCAATATTGCTATTGCACTATATGTTAACTAACTAGAATTTAAATAAAATTTTGAAAAGAAACATTTTTTTCTTTTTCTCCCTGATTCAGTTTTGGGAGCTTATATATTTCTAAGAATTTATCCATTTCTTCTAGGTTGTCCAGTTTGTTCATATATAATTTATCATCATATCCCTTTGTATTTCTGTCAGCTGTCATTTCTCCTCTTTTGCTTCTGATTTTGTTTATTTGAGTCCTCTTTTTTTGGTGAATCTGTCTAAAGGTTTATCAATTTTGTTGATCTTTTCAAAGAAGCAGCTCTTGATTTCATTGATCTCTTCTATTTTTTTTAGTTTCCATTTAATATATTTCTCTATTCTTTTCATTTATCTACTGGTTTGGAGTTTTGTTTGCTTTTCTTTTTTTAGCTCCTTTAGGTGTAAGTTTAGGTTATTCATTTGAAGTTTTTCTTGCTTCTTGAGTAAGAAATGTGCTGCTATCAACTTACCTCTTGGAATAGCTTTGCTGTATCCCAAAGGTTCTGGACTGTTGTGTTTACATTTTATTTTGTCGTCATGTATTTTTTTTTTATTTTGTCTTTTATTTCTTTGTTGACTTATCCATTATTTAGTAGCATGTTATTTTACCTCCTTGTATTTGTGTTCTTTCCAGATTTTTTCCTTTTTTTAAATGTTTACTTTTGGGGGGGAGGGGCAGAGAGACAGAGGGTGAGAGAGCATCCCAATCCGCTCTGACAGCACAGAGATAAATGCGGGGCTTGATCTTATGAACCATGAGATCATGATCTGAGCCAAAATCAAGAATCAGACACTTAACCAGCGGAACCACCCTGGAGCTCCCAGGTGCTTATAGTTGATTTCTAGTTTCATAACTTGCTCCTTAATTCTTATATGGGTCCCCACAATTTATATGCATCCTATTTCCTTTTTATATTTCATTGGGTTCAAAATATGAAACTCCTTTAATATTCAAAATTGCTATTTTGGGTTCCTCTTTGAAATCATACTTGGCTCACTTCAGTTGTATTATTCTGGCACAAGGACAAGTGATGCATATTCAACAAACAACGGTTGCATTCAGTTTAATTGGACACCAAGCTTAGAACCTCGTAAAAGTTCCTGACAATTAATAAGTATATGATATCTCTTGTTAAATTTAGTCAGTTGAATGATATTGCATTGAATATCCTGAAATAGTGCCACCTTGATCTGCTCATGTGTGTTCCCATAAGGCCTCTGGCCTTAAAAAAATGCATTTATTATTGCTTATCCTTTCTTAATTCCCTTACCTCTTTGATGCTAACAATACAGAGTTCTTTTTTTTTTCTTGGATTTTTAAAAATAGTTTTTCTCTAATTGATCTACCTTATTTAAAAGCATCTATATTCTGCACAAATGAACTTTTATGTTATATTATATAACTATACCACTGGGATCTATACAAGTAAAATGTCTCCTTACACGATATAGTGTCCAGCCATATTTATTTATTCCCTTGAGAATTTCCTTCCTATATTGTAATACATCCCATCTCTCACTGACATCTTAAAAGGAAACAACAGCTTTTCCCTCACTCTTATTCATTTCTCTTGAATTGTTATTTTAGTCCATTTCAAACAGAAATCATATACTGCTGCCAAACATATTAATTATTTAGATTCTCATTTCAGCTTTTTCCTTTACATATTGTGACATCCTTTATGTCTTTTCTGAAAGAACATTTTTCTCATTTTCAGAAGAAATAGGATCAATGTAGAGAATATAAAACATAAAGAAAAGTATATAGATGCAAATTAAAATCACCTCTGAATGGCAAATTGCCTGCCATCCAGAGATTTTCTGCTTTTTTCCTTATATACATGTATATATATTTTTCTGAACTAAATTAAGATCATACTATAATGTACTTCTTTATTGTTTTGTTCAACTTTAATGTTATGTTAACACTTTCATGTCATTAAATATTTCTCAAAATATCATTTTTGTGAATGTGAAATATGCATTTAACCAATACCCTTTTTGGGGGGATTTGGAGATATTTTATTTGTGTCAATTTTTCATTGTTATAAGTTATGCCATGATTGACATTTTGTACACAAAATACTGTGTGATTATTTTCTTCAGCCCCTAAAAGTAAAACTAAGTAAAATTTTTTATAATTGTCTTTACAACTCTTGGTATGTATTGCCAGTTGGTCCCCCTAAGGAATATAATTTCTGTCTTTTCCCATTCGTTATTGTGGTTCCCTACTTTGGGGGTAAAAAATAGATAGGCATCATGGCAGACCTGTTGCTAATAGCCAGCATGATGAGTCAACCCATTTCTGTTCATCTGTTCTTGAAATCCCCTCATTTCACCCATCTTGTTAATTATTCCTTAATTTGTCCACTTGCTAACTTATTTCTTCAATTGACTCCTCAAACAATGATCACTCATCAACCCAATGTTAGAATGTCACTGCGTACCCAAATCAATGCAAGGTGCCAGGTGTGTTGAAGGGACTAAACCGTGGTTCTTGCACCAGGTAGCTGCACATAGTGGCTGATCAGAGCTAAATACCATGAGAATACATTCCTGTTCATGTTTTTGGAGAAACGTGCATTTCAAAAATGTTTCTGTACTCGTATTAGTGATCACTTTCTACACATACCTTACAATTCTCAAGCATATACATTATGTAACAAAAAGCTTACCTTTATGTAGATTCCTTTCACTTTTTACCAGTATGATAAGCCTAAAACTCATTCCTTTAATGAGCAATGAATTCCACATTTAGTGTTCTCCTTTTTTATTTCAGAATGCAATACTGTGTGTGTGTGTGTGTGTGTGTGTGTGTTGAAAAACATGACAATTTAACAGTGAACGTTTCTATGAAAAGGCATTAAATAATGGGATGAGCTCACTTTTGTTAATTTTCTTTGTTTTTCAATGTTTTCTGAACTTTCTACCATATGTATATATCTGATCTATAATCAGGAAAAAACACATTTGCAAATTGAAGTTTGTTCACTCAGCTATAGTTTTTATGATGTATGGAGTACTTACTAACCTCCTATATGCCTGAATACATATATGTTGGGTCAATTTGTTATGCTGGCTTGATGTCTAATTTCTTTTTCATTTAAATCATGTTTTTTTTCAGTGTCCTCTATGGAAATAAGATCACGGAACTCCCAAAAAGTTTATTTGAAGGACTGTTTTCCTTACAGCTACTGTAAGTATTTGATTGTTTCTGATCTGTTGAACCAAATATAATATTTTAGTCAGTGTACCATCTCATATTTTCATGGAAGCTTCAGAAAAACTCGACCCCAAATGACATAGTTTAATGAAATGGAAAAGATTAGTCTAGTGCAGCTCACATTGATGGTGGTTATTTATTTGAAGACACAGCACTTTGAAGTTGTCTCAAAACCTTTCTCTCCACCCTGTCAGAAATATATGCTTCCTGGCTACTCTGTCATTTAAAGCTTGTGCAGTCCCTGCCCTTTGTGAAACTCTCTGTTTTGATTTAACAGTAGTTGGGAAGGAGAGTGACATAGTGATATGTTTATCCACCTTTGTCCAAAGAATGTGCAGGGGTAACAGTGCTGGAATAAGGGCCAGAGCACAGCAATAGCACCCAACTTGGTATATACTGAGAAAATTGTCTATAAATCGCTGGATTGCATCTTTTAAAAACCATTCTGCTTAGACAATAGCTACCATTCATTTGTGTCAAAAGAATTTACTATACATACACGTATAAGAACAAAACCTGGCCACAAAGTGTTTAAATGAATGCTCCTATGAAAAGGAAATTGGAAGAAATATGCTAACATTAAGATGATTACTGTTAGATCATCAAATTCTGTTCAAATCACCAAACATACGTAGGCTTCCGCATTCAGGGGATACAAATATGACGATGATGTACTGTGCTCTCTCAACTAGTTCACAGCCAGTTGACTCTAAAATTCTTAAGTTTAAAATGGTACTTTCTCTGTCGAGTGTATACATGTGTTGGTGTCAGGGTTTGTACCACTGATCTTGTATAAATTTACTCCTAATCCCCCAAGACTTCCCAGACGTAGATCTCTTCCCTTACTGGGTAAATGTAAGTTCTTACTTACATCCTAGTCTTCATGTTTTAAATTTTTATCAGTATCAAGAAACATATTTTATATCACAGTCCAGTTTCACACACAACACACACAGACACACACACATGAAGCAAATTGTTAACTAAATAATATTTAGCCTTACTGTGTGTAGTGCTCTCCATTTTGCTACATTCTCTCTCTATGTCTCCCCCTCTCTCTTTTCAATCTCTTTAATACTGTACAACCCAAAAAATTGATTTTACAAGAGACCAGTAAGTCATGATAAATACTGATCCTTGTGCCCTAATGTCTTTATTTGGGTTTCAAATTATTTTTAACCCTTGAGGTGGACTCACAAATACTGTTTCTGATCTTTAATAGAATGACTCTGTATACATTACATACACTATAAATATAGCTATTGCTTTAGTCAAGCATTGTCTATATATTACCTGCTTCTCTGTCATTCTTTTACATTCTCATAGCACTATTCTCCTTGCCATTTACTCGTAATCTCTTGCTATCACTGGTCTGCTTAGTACCCACACTGAAAATAGCACCTTCTCTCCCCTTCCACACACACTTACTGGTTGTTGATGTAACAAACAGGTGAATAAACCACGGGATCTGTATGGAGATGAACCTTACTTAAAAAGCTATCTTTGTCCCTCAGCCTAATATTTTGTCCCCAGCTCAAGGCCCATCCTTAAGCCTGCCAGGACTAAAGCAACACGATTATCTCTTTATGGCTAGCTGAGAACTTGGTTAAGCATCTTAGATTTGCTTGAACAGATGAAAAGAAGTAAGTGAAAGGAACGGAAGAAAGTAGTGTCTAACTCTTTCTTTCTCCTAATTTTCAGACCACATAATGTAAAGTAAGTACAAAATGCTCAAAACAGGCACCTTTTTCAATTGTCTTCCAGGCTCCCTATTTTGTCCTTCTCCTTACTTCTGCTCTCTGACTCCTTCATTTGGCTGACAGATTGGAGAACACAGTAGGTGTGACCTGTGTTGTGGCACAGAGTAGAGAAATGGGATTATCAGTCCACACCTCAGACTAGTTCCTCAGCTTTTAAGAAAGCATTATGAGGACCACAGAGAAGATCAAAATGTCAGGTCCTAAAGGGGGGGGGTAAAAAAGAGGAGGAAAGAGAATCACCACAAGGAAGTCATAGCTTTGCAAGTATGTGGAATCCCTAAAAATGCAAGTAGAACAGAGGTGCCGGGGTGGCTCAGCTGGTGAAGCATCCAACTCTTTAATATTGGCTCAGGTCATGATCTCACAGTTCATGGGATTGAGACCTATGTTGGGTTCTGGGCTGACAGTGTGGATCCTGCTTGGGATTCTCTCTCTCCCTCTACCTCTCTGCCCCTCCCCAGCTCATTCTCTCTCTCTCTCTCTCTCTCTCTCTCTCTCTCTCTCTCTCAAAAATAAATACATTTTTAAAAAGCAAGTAAAACAGAAATACCCTATGTTAATTAGAGATTCTTATGACCAAAGAGAAACCATTTTCAGTATATTAAATAAGGCATACAAACCCAAACCACAGAGCACATATTTTTTGAGCTACTAAATATTTGTTTAAGTATCAAAGCACTAAACTAAATGCTAGCAGAGAAAAAAATATCAAAAAAAATTCTGTGCTCATGGAGGGCAAATAAGTAGGCCTGCATAAAGTAGGTGCCAAGACTAAATAGCACTGAACAACTTCCTTGGGAACCCAGAGGAAGAAATACTTTAGTTGGATGGAAGGCATGCTCTGGAAAAGGTAAGCTTCCCGTGAGGCCATAATAGGCCACAGGATTGAAGAAAGTGGAAGGCGGGGCAAGTATATTCCCAAAGGGAGTCCGACATGAATAAAAGAATAAATAAAACATGATCTCATATACCCTACGAGAAAGGCGTTTGTCAAAGTATGATTTGTGAACCACAGTTTCACAGAACATTGATGTCGAATATTGAGAACATGTTGAAAAAAAATGAGTGTGTAGGATATTGTGTTAAACTAACTTAAGTGGATGTTTATAATGCAAGACCAGGGCCTTTAATATGCTTATGAACTGTGTCACTCTCCAAGAGGGCTGTAAAGTATTAATTCAACAACAGGTACTTATGGAGCACTTAGTATGTGCTCAGCACGGGAGAAACATTAGGGAGCTAAATCGACAAATACGCCTGCTGTCTGGAGGCAACATGCAAATGACAGCAATGAAGTGAGAAGTAAATCAGGGGTGCCTGGGTGGCTCAGTCGGTTGAGCATCCAAGACTTGATTTCGGCTCAGGTCATGACCTCACGGTTCATGAGATAGACCTCTGCATTGGGCTCTACACTGACAGCACAGAGCCTGCTTGGGATTCTCTTGTCTCCTCTCTCTCTGTCCCTCCCCTGCTCTCTCTCTCTCTCTCTCTCTGTCAAAATAAATAAATAAACATAAAAAAAAATAATGTAACAAGTAAATCATATACAACAGAAAGAAATACACACTTAGGAAAACAGAAAAAAAAAAGATCATAGTAAAGAAATCGAGTGTGTTAGAGGTTGAGGAGGGGCAAACGCAGGGGATGGTATTAAAGAGAGTGGTCGGGGTAGGCTGAATTGAGAAGGTAAGATTGGACCAAACTCAAAGAAGCAGAGTAGTCAGACAGCAGGGAAAAGAACATTCCAAGCTGACATCCCTACATTGAGACCTGTGTGGCTGGAGCTGAAGCAGCTGGGGGAAAGAATGTGGAGGTCACAGAGTCAGAAGGGGGCGCTAACGGTCCTATTGCGCCTTAAGGCAATTTGTCAGGACTTTGGTTTCGTTGAGAGCAGTTTGAGAGTTGTTGCCTGGCTTTGAAAGGAAAGTGATCTGTGTTTTAAAAGGCTCACTCTGGCTTCTGTTTTGAAAGTAGACCGAACTTCTTCACAGAGCAGCTGGAAAGACTAATGTTTTATGACGGGTTTTTTTATGGCATCCTTGACTTCAGAAGTTGGCTCTGCTTTGTCTACTGCACTACCCTTCCACCTTCCAGAGAATATGTTTCATTATTTCTTCTGAATAAATGTATGAGTACCACTAGATTTATTAAACTGCATGCCCTTCGCTTTATCTGCTATAACCCCAAATCTCCCACCTGTGGTACCTAAATTATTACAGTTAAAATGTTAATGTTGAGGTTCAGAAAAATGTATTTGTTGATTTCTTGTATTTCTCAAGAAGGACAGAATCTTAAAGGTGGGTTAAGAAGATGCTGCACTTTAATTCTGCAACTATTTGATCAAACAGATTATTGAATGCCAACAAGATAAACTGCCTTCGGGTAGATGCTTTTCAGGATCTGCACAACTTGAACCTTCTCTCCTTGTACGACAACAAGCTTCAGACCATTGCCAAGGGGACCTTTTCACCTCTCCGGGCCATTCAAACCATGTATGTATCTATGGCTTGGATCAACTATGGTGACTGGTGTCTTCACTATGGATTTGAGAGTTGAGTTCATTGCAAGTCGAGTATAAAAGTGTTCTGTATGTGTTTCTGAAAGGCATTTGGCCCAGAACCCCTTTATTTGTGACTGCCATCTCAAGTGGCTGGCGGATTATCTCCATGTCAACCCCATCGAGACCAGTGGTGCCCGCTGCACCAGCCCCCGGCGTCTGGCAAACAAAAGAATAGGACAAATCAAAAGCAAGAAATTCCGTTGTTCAGGTAATTTCTTACTTTATGTGACATTTCACTTGTGTTACCAAAAACAGTGGTTATGGAGACCTAGAGACAGCTGGTTATCAGATCAATTATCAAACATTGTAGAATAGTGTTCTTCTACTTCTGTCCACAAAGAACTAAATAAAGAGACCTGTAGACACAATTCATATATCCCTCCTATATGTAATATTTTTAACACTATATCCAGCATAACAAATAGGCTACCAGCCAAGAAAAAAGATGCCTGGATACTTCATGCTGTATTTTTGGAATTTGAACTTTTAGCAAACTCAGAATACTTTTCAAGTCTGTTAAGTTGTATGTTTGTTGGATTATTCTCCATTGAAAAACTTTAGGTAATCAATCACGTTCTCATTTCTTCAGAAAGGGAACTGAGACTTAGTTAGGTGATTTGCTCAGGCTCAGAATTAGGGGGAAAGATTTCCCTATCCCTTGCTTCTCGCACCAAATGTGTTTTCTTATTTTTCATCCTCTTATTTCAAATAGGATTCTGAGAATAATTTTTTTTTTCCAAAAGGCCATCTTTTAGCATTTGGGGAATATCATACTTATTTATAAAAAGCTAAATGTAGATACATTGTATTACCATTAAATAAAAGACCGACTGCAGTGACATTTACTATTTGCTTTGGACTAATCTTTTCTGTTTTCCTACGATAAAACACATTCTGAATGTTTTGGGTAGTATGTTATCTGACTATTGCAGGGGTATTTCACATTCGGCAGTTAATTCATACTAAAAAGCTAATATCAAAACAAAGCTATTTATTGTCCGTGGTTCTAGATACATTTACTACTCCCTGTACATTATTATATCTCAGCCACTGCTGTGAATAGAATTCACTTAATTATCTATAGTGCCTATAGTCCATTCTTAATCTAATATAACTCCTATCTCTGCTTGCTGACATTCAGGTGCATCTTCTATTTTTTTTTCTCTTTTTTTATTTAGCTAAAGAACAGTATTTCATTCCAGGTAGGTTTTGCTCGGTAGTAGGACTAACCACAGATACCCTTTCCTCACCTTATAAAATATAGCTTCTGAAACTTTGATGTGCATGCGTTTGAAAGTACAGTGGGTACTCTGTAGATAGATTTACTTCTGCATAGATCACTTGTAGCTGTTTCCTGAAAACCTGACCTTTGCATGCAGCTTCTGATGTTAAACTTATATATTATTAAACTCCCATCTTTTTTTTTTCTCTCTCACTTTGGCACATTATCTAAAATTTCTCACAGTACCTAAAACGTTTGAACCTGTAGCCTTCTACTTAAATCATTTTCTCTCCTTATGTTGTATATCTGATCTTTCAACCTGTTTTTAAAATGTAGCTTATTGAGCTGGTTTTAAAGACAGAGACCTTTCTGTTGTCAAAGAACTAGTTCTACATGAAATCAGTTACCAACACATAGAATGAATTCTCTTTTCAACCATGAGATTTACTTTTTTGATGTAACTATACTAAAAATGTATGCCTTACTTTTTGTTTTATTTGGCTTACGGATGCTTCACTTTTTATACAAAAACAGCAACTTCCTGCTTGCTTACATACAGTTATATGTTGTTTGTGACTTAACAAAACTGAACAAACTTCTTGTATACCTGGAGTGACAATATAACTCCACAAAAACAATATTGACATGCATCCGGAAAGCATCAGGTGTTCATAGGCACGAAGTGCCTTGAATAATTTAAGCATATGAATGGAATGAGTTTTAGAAAAGTAATTGAAATGTTTTACCACTACAATCTCAACACTGTCAAGGCTGATGATTCTGGAACTAGCTCTTTGAAATATGTTTCTTCACTTCTTTTTTCCTTGCCTGCCAACTGTGTAAAATGCCTCTTGACTTGTTTGTTTTACACCATTATATAAAAAATATGTGTTAGTAATTAATTGGCTACATTTACCATCTCCTGGGGATATTCTAGACTATTATATATTTTAACACCTACCAATAAGAAGATTATTTATACAGTGTTAGTATGCAAAAACCATACTGATTTTTTAAAGGAGAGTACTGGGTTAGGTTTGGTCTTTATTTTAAGGAGATATGTGTTATTTACCTTTATTGAATTATAATTTGAATAATTTTGTTCATTTAATGGATTTTGTTTTATTACTTATTTTGAGCTTGAGTGATCAATAGTATTTTACATATTACACTGGCTGCATAAGGCATAACATGGTGGAAAGAACAGTTGATTGGCCTTTATTGGCAATCTTTAAAATTCATTATTTTTACCTCACTATTAAGCAGAAAGTCATCTGATAGCTATTACTTACCCAGAAAAAGCCATATTCTAAACACCAGAACACCTATAGGATAAAACATTAATATTGCTTAAATCCTCAAATTCTGCCAATTAATATAATTGTTACCGAATTCTTCAATTAATTACATTTAACTCTACTTTATTAATAATTTAGAAATTAATATTTCTGGATCACCAATTAAAGACCCAAAGTCAGATTGTTTTCATAAATTCTGATACAGTTTTGCCCATTTACTGACAGCGGTCAAAATAAGCTTTCTTGGAAATACATTTTATATGTGATGCCATGGCTTCATTTTCAATTTCTGTTAATTCAATTTGCATTAAAGCAATAATAATAGAAGTCAGGACTCAGAAGGTTTCTTTGAGCCTTTTCTCCCTCTTTTTTCTCTTATAGATTTCAATTAAAATTTTATCCTACCTAAACAGTCTCCATAAAAGAAACAGCATTGTCATTGCATGGAATGCAGATTATTTTAAATGTAAGATACCCAGAGTACCTGTCATGTAGACCTTGTTGCCAGTGTTTCTTCATTTCACTTTTAAAACGAAAGCCTAAACTGCATTACAAAAGTTCCTCAATAAATACCTTGGCATTCATTGCCAAATCTAATGAAATGATTATATTCAGCTTTGCAATCTGATGAGATTCTCATTTCATTTCCACTAAGTGACATTATTTATAAGTTGGAAAAATCATTAAAAAGCATGTAAGCCACCACCTAAGGATTAATCCAGATGGATTTGTTTGTAAAGATCTCCATGATTCGTTTTTCACTTCAGTTTGCTTGTTTACCTGCCTACCGTCATTCTATATGGCATTCTAGATACTATAGTGATAACTCAAAAGAAAATCTATCTTGCAGAGAGTTCATCATTTAAAGGAATCGACAAGAACCTAACTTGTGCTGTGCATCTTGTATGCCATTGCTTTTCCCGTAAGACCACTGTGCTTCAAAAAATTACTACAAAAGCTTGCAAAGCATGACGATTGCTGTCATACTATGCCTTTCCCGTCCAATTGCCATAGCAAGGAAAGAAGGAGGAGACCTTAGCTAGTTTTATGTATGTGTTTATTAATCTTAATCGGGATTACTCTTTCTTTCCTTCTTGGTGATTTTTACTTTTGCAGGAATTCACCATTTTGGCTGTAAGTAAAAGTGTCTGATCTGAAACATAATGTCCTCCCTTTTCAATCCTGATGTACCTTCTTCTAGTCTCGGTCTTTTGCGCCTTTTTTCCGCCCCCCAAGAAGAAACCACAGATCTTTTGAGCTTCTCTGTTGTCCTTGTAGCTCACCTTCAACTTCTTCCTGGATGTTGTTCCCGAAAGCTGTTGTTTCCATTCTGCAGTTCTGAGGAACAATGGAGGCACCTTTCAGTGTAGCCCCCTTCTTTGTGTTTCCAGGAAATCTTCGGTAGTAATACTCTTACTATGGTCATAAACATTCTGCGGGAAGAATGCATGTCATGTAAACAGTATTACGTTTCCAGAACGTCTGTAGCTTTTTCTCCTGCTTCCCTTCATCTTTCCTCTCGGTCTTACCCTTGGCCTAGTGGATGGTGTAGTGATTATGTAGCGAGATTTTCTGTTGTGCTTGATCTAACCATGTGGTTGCCAGGTATGAGTAAAACATGGTTCCGTCAAGCACCATGGAACGTCACGCAGCTTTCTACAGCATGACAAGCTGCTGAGGCTTAAATCAGGATTTACTGGTCTCTTTTTATAAAATCAAAATGAAAAAAGAGGGCTTTTTAGGCATTTCTGAAGATTATGTGAGAGGGAGAGAATACTAAAAGACCATAGAAAATTTAAAAACCTGAGTACATCTATTTGCCTTGAAAGCCCTAATTTAAAATGATATATAGGAACATGTTTATTACTGGATACATTTTAAATTCTTGACTCAGAGAAAAAAAATAAACTTTTTAACAATTAATAGCCATTGTATGATTAGCTGTCAAATAGGCTAGAATGGCTCATAACTGGATCAGCAGAAAGTACAGCTGTGAAAAGCTCATCTCTATTAATGTTTTCCTGTCCTGTGAATCTGGTTACTTTTTTTTCCAGCAAATTCCAAGCCCTTGTTTTAACCCTCTCCTGACATCCATTGACCAAAAATTCCCCAAGTTGTCTCCCTGCTGCATAATCTATAGTTATCTTACTATTTTTCTTCCTACAAATTAATGAATATTCTAACCTTTAGACTAAGTATCTTTTTTTTTTTTCTTTTGGCTTGAATCCTCAATAGGTACAGAAGATTATCGATCAAAATTAAGTGGGGACTGCTTTGCAGATTTGGCTTGCCCTGAGAAGTGCCGCTGTGAAGGGACCACGGTAGATTGTTCCAATCAGAAACTCACCAAAATCCCAGACCACATTCCCCAGTACACCGCAGAGCTGTGAGTTCATCTCCTAACAAAATCCAGGTTGGGAGGGAGGGAATGAAAGCATCGAAGCCATGGAATTTTTGTCTTGCTCTTTTATTCTTGATGATTGCATTGATTTTAATGAACACGCATGGCCGTAACTCTCCTTTGTACAAAGATAGATTAGAGGCTATCTGACTTCATCTTTCTGGTCCAAGATACGACTCCAGAAGTTAATTTACTTCTCAAAAATTCAGTTAGCTCTTGATAATGCTAAGAATAAGAGCATTCATTTGATATTTATTTCTTGGGTATTATTTATGCCCATACCCATTTCTAAAAATGTAATAGATTTCTAAGGGATATAGTCTTTCACAGCAACCAAATAAAGTACTTTGAGAGTCACCATTTTGAATCTCTGTATATTATGAATTAAAGCAGAGAGCCTTTATCCGCTTTATTACTTCACGGACCTGAAGGTGGAAGGATTCAGTGATTATCAAGTATTACAGCACAGCGGGTAGGTTTTGTTTTTCCTGAGTAATGGATAGCATAGCAGAAAAACAAAAGAATAGTGAGATTAGATTTATATTTATAACCCTAACAAGGGCCTAGCACATACTAGGTGCTAAAACATGTTTGTTGAATCATCTATAGATTCTGTGCCATGTATGGTTTGCCTTTAGTGACATTATTTATAAAACTAAGACTAGTGTTCTAAAAATTGAAGAAAAACCTGGTGACATCTCATTGTTTTCGGAACATCTTAGCAACGTTTATGTATAGCACCATCTGGTATCTGCCACTTCTTTGCAAAGTCGGTTGTCCTTTTCTGCATGCATAACCCTTTTGTCTTCAACTAGATTGTAGCTCCTTGATGACAGGGATTGTGTTTTATGGTTTATCTCCCACCGTGCCTATATTCGTGCCTGTTACTTAATGAATTCTAAGCAATTTGAGTAATTTCAAATAATGTAATGCTTTCAAAGGGATGACAGAAACTACACCGAGGCTGTAGTGATACTTTTTTTTTTTTTATTCCTGTTACTTTTTGAATCTATTTCATAGCTCCAGGATTTTTTGAAATGTGTGAAGAACATGCAGTAAAAGGCCTGAACTCTATTTTATGGTCACGTAGGGAGTTGTGTGTATTGCCAATATTATTACAAACAATAATTCAAATTATATCTTCCTGCATGATAACAGCTTAAATAGGCTTACTTGTCAATTAAGAATTACAGCACTAACATCTAATTTATTATTCAGCAAAGTTTTGGTGTGTTTTAAGAAATTAGGAGCTTTTTAAATTATACATTTAAAAATCAGTACTGGGAAGAAAAGATTTTCAAATTATGTATCCAGTAGGGGACTTCTATCCAGAATATATAAAGAGCTATTACAACTCAACAATAAAAAAGGTATATTACCCAATTTAAAAGTGCTCAAATTATTTGTGTGCACATTTCTCTAAAAAAGAAATACAAATGACCAATAAGCACCTAAAAAAATGCTTTGTATCATCAAGTATTAGGGAACCATAAATCAAAATCACAGTGAGGTAACACATCCCCTAGAATGGCCATAAAAGCAAAAAAAGACAGTAACAGGTGAGAGAAATTGGACCCCTCATGCATTGCTGGGGGAATGTAAAATGACACAGCATCTTTGGAAAACAGTTTGGCTAGTCATCAAATTGTTAAATATAGTTTTACTATGTAACCCAGCAATTTCACATCAGTGTAAATATCCAAAGAAATCAAAAACATGTATCTACACAAAAACTTCTACCCCAATGTTGGTAGCAGCACTATTCATGATAATCAAAAAAAGTAGAAACAACCCAAATGTCCATCAGCTGGTAATGGGATAAACAAAATTGGCGTGTCCATAGACTGGAATATTATTTGGCCATAAAGGAATGAAGTGCTGACATACGCTAAACATGGATGAACCTTGTAAACATTGTGTAAAGTGAAAAAAGCCACACTTTTCATGAATTCATTTGTATGAAACATCCAGAGTAGGAAACTCCATACAGACAGAAAGTAAATTAGTGGTTGCCAGGGACTGAGGCAGGGAGGGAAGCAAATTGAGAGTGACTTCTGATGGGTATGAGATTTCTTCTTGGTGGTGGATATATTCTGGGATTAGGCAACAAACATAGTTGCACAGATTTGTGAATACACTAAAAACCACTAAATTGTACACTGTAAAAGAGTGAATTTTATGGCATATAAACTGCATATCAAAAAATCCATTAGTAAAAAATATTTGCAGCAAGTGGTTAGAAAAAATGGTTTAAAATGCTTTTTGGGAGAAAAATGCTTTGGGGGAGGAGGGACAATAGTGGAAAAAAGTTTGAGAAAGTTTATTCTATAAATTACTGAGTGAGAGCTAGTTTTGATTTTTGATCATTGGTTTTCCTTATTATATGCTTCTTCATATTTTATTTTGATCATTGAAATTTGAGTGAAATGGGGAAAAATCAGTACTTCCACAGATTTTCTGTGGCATGTGTTCTCTATTTTACTTTGGAATAATTATTAAATGATCTTACAATTCTGTTATGAGAAATAAAATCTAATCCCTTCCTAACTGTTGGTAATGAAAGTTTTTTTTTCTTTTTTTCTGAGGCGTCTCAATAATAATGAATTCACAGTGTTGGAAGCTACAGGAATCTTCAAGAAACTTCCGCAGTTACGTAAAATGTAAGCCGTGCATTAGCCACCTTTTAAAATTTCTGTGCTGTTTTGTTGTGTTTTTCACATCCCTTTGCAATTTTATTCAGATTTCTTTGGAAATTGGAAACTATAAAAGGCTGGGCGAAATTTCCATACAATGACTACCTGTGACAGGATTTTAGGGTAATTTCTGAGAGGAGTTTCAAGTGATGCCAACCACGTTTTCTCTAACAGAGCCCCTAGCATCTTATTTTAATTCAGACAGCTGGTTTGTTATGTGGCCACAGCAGGAATTCAGCAATCTAAGCACATTAGAAATGGGTGCGGTAATGTTTTGTAACTTCCTTTACTATTCCCTAAACCACGCTGTTATATCTCTTTCAGCACATTCATGTCAACTATTTGACTTTTTGCTTCATTAAACTTTCATTAGAAGATAGTCAAAATTAATGATTGGTAAACTGGCTTGATAGCTCATCTGTGTTACTACATATCCACAACTCATATTTTAAAATCAGTTTATCAACTCATCAGTTTCAGTAACACTCAGACAATATTCCCCTCCCCTGAGGAGGTGGAAGGGTGGGAGGGACAGAACAGAGGTCAAGTATGTAAGGCCAATGGAACAGCCTCCATCTGAGAGGAAACGTTGAAAGGAGAAAAGGATCATTGTTCTGTTTCATATCTGTATCTGGCCCATGGTCACACTGACTTGTAAGTGGCAGAGTAGTCTACTTCCTGTGCACTTGACTCCCATATTGTACTGCATCCCAAAGAGTTTCATATTATTTCATTTTTCTCCTTTTCACTGGCACTGATTGCTCTTACTTTTTATTCATACCTTTGAAGTCAACACATATTTATTGAGCAACTCCTACATGCAATGCTCTGAGAGGAATACAACGATACATAAAAATGATCCTTGTTCTGGGAGCATTCTGGGTCTTTGAGTGAGCAATGAGAAAAGGAAAGATAGAACCTGTAGCAAGGGGTTACCTCAGTTGGATGTTTTTGCCCTCTGGGCAAGCATTGTAGTATTTTGTGTTACACAGGATATTGACAGTTAAGTTGGCTGTTTTGACACATTATTACAATAAGAAGTTTTACTGGGAACAAATCCCTATTCTGATACATTTCTTTTATTTTTTTATTTTTTTAATGTTTATTTTTGAGAGAGATAGAGACAATGCGAGTGGGTTAGGGGCAGAGAGAGAGGGAGACACAGATCTGAAACAGGCTCCCGGCTCGGAGCTGTCAGCACAGAGCCTGACATGGGGCTCGAACTCACGAGCTGTGAGATCATGAACTGAGCCAAGGTCGGACACTCAACCGACTGAGCCACCCAGGCGCCCCTATTCTGATACACTTCTGATGCTATCTAAATGTTCACACATTTAACCCATCTTTCTTCTCTCTACCCAATTGCCTTCTTTTAGTCATTAATTCATTCAGTAGTCTTTGGGGCATTTCTTTAAAAAGTTCCTTTTGAAGTATTGTGCTGAATATAAAGGTTTTTTGTTTGTTTGTTTTTTTCAACGTTTATTTATTTTTGGGACAGAGAGAGACAGAGCATGAATGGGGGAGGGGCAGAGAGAGAGGGAGACACAGAATCGGAAACAGGCTCCAGGCTCTGAGCCATCAGCCCAGAGCCTGACGCGGGGCTCGAACCCACGGACCGCGAGATCGTGACCTGGCTGAAGTCGGACGCTTAACCGACTGCGCCACCCAGGCGCCCCTGAATATAAAGGTTTATACAACTCAATACCTGACCTCAACAATGTTAGACTCCTAGTGACCCTTGAAGATCATTTTGACGTTGATTGGGCTGGTATTTTTCACCATAGACATTCTCCCCCAATATTATCATCAGTTTGGTTCAATGGAATAGGAAGTGTGGTGTCTTTTCAGAACCTGTGGTGCTTTGCAGTGAAAAGCTTGGAAATTATGGAAGAATTTGCTTAGTAGAAGAAAATGGTCAGACATGTTGTCTCAATGCCCTTGTTGAAAGAAATAGCTTAAAATCTTGATTTCAACATTTTTTTTTTTTAATTTAGAAACTTTAGCAACAATAAGATCACAGACATTGAAGAGGGAGCATTTGAAGGAGCATCAGGTGTAAATGAAATACTTCTCACGAGTAATCGTTTGGAAAACGTTCAGCATAAGATGTTCAGGGGATTAGAAAGCCTGAAAACTTTGTAAGTATTCTCATCTGCATTGTGATTCTTCCATCACAGCACTGTAGTTCACTGGTCATTATAAGTCCAGGTGGGGGAGTAGCTCAGACTCCTCCTCACCCTACCATCTCAACGTCTGTCTACATCTCTCTCTCACAGATACACAGACACGCACGCGCGCGCACACACACACACACACACACACACACACACATATCCTGTGTGTGCAAACATTCCCTTCCTAGAATCCCCCAGACTTCGGTGTGTTGCTTGCAAAAGATTGAGAATGTCTCCCGATGGCTGATTCCTCAGCAAAAAAGATTGCCCTTGTTCCAGTGCTGGTGCAGATTTCCTCCCTTCCCTGGTTCTGCCTCCAAATGTTCATTCTCTTGCCTTTTCATCAAACGCCTCCATCTAACACTCGCTCTTGGCCCCAGGGGTCTAGCTTCCGAATCCAATCCAACCCCTGTGGCACAGAATAACTAATGGTTCATCTGGAAACCACCTTTGTCTGCTCCTGTGAGGTTTTAGTGAAAAAGAGACTGACTGACGGTAGATCGTGAACCGTCTATTTCAAAGCAACATGCTAAGAGTTGTGCCTACTTGCTCGGGGGTAGGGAGGTTGGGACAAAGAAATTCGTTATGTTTCCAAAAAGTTGTTGACCAAAGAGGACAGGGATTGGATTGAATAGCAAAAACCTCACTTTATGTTAACTTGAATTTTCTACGGTGCATATATGTAGTTTTTATTCTCTCGGAAGTATATAATTATGTTTGACAAAAGTGGCAACCTAAAATTGGAAGATGTACAAATCAACCCTCTGAAGCGTTTGGAGGACATGAAGGAAACTATTTGTAACCAAGAAGCAGCTGATGGTGATCACAGTGGAGAGAGGTCCACACTCTACTGTCTCTCCTAAACTGTCACCCTGTCCCTCAGAGCCACAACCAGAAGGGTGGATACTTGAGGACATCCCTTGCCTGCTCTTTATCTGGCGCAGAGGGAGAAGACCATTTCCCCGGCCAGCGTGGATGTGTTCCTAGCATCCTGAATTCAAGTCCTACTGAAAATGTCTGCCCATGAGTGTAGACGTTTGCTCCTGAGCCTCCCAGGGATAGAGTGAAACCTAACATCCAGCAGGGCTAGCCTGCAGCCCTCCCACAGACTAACTTGAGCCCCTTCAAAACGTTATGCAAATAGTCTTTTAGCCTTTTTATGGAGGAGATACCGAGGAGAGGGTAGAGGAGAGCAGAGAAAATACACCACAGGCGGCTGCATCTGTTCCTGCCCCCACCTCCCTCGTCCAGGCTGCTTCAGGCGACTCTGCAAAACACGAATCCTACAAGCAGAAGCATCTTTTGTTGGAAGATAGTTGAGGGACTGCTTGTTACTGGCACCTTCTTGAAGAGGCAGCGTGGGGGTTGGGAAGAGGAGGGGAAGGGGGTGAGGAAGGAGTCTGTATCCCGCCTACATCAGTCTGCCTTGGGCTGCCATAGCACGATACCACAGACTGATGACTTAAGCCACAGAAATTTGTTTTCTCACAGTTCTGGAGCCTAAAAGTCCAAGATCAAGGTGCTGAGAGGGTTGGTTTCTAGCGAGATTTCTTTCTTGACTTGTAGTTGAAACCTTCTCCTTCTACTCTTACATGCACTTTCCTCTGTGTACAGAGAGAGAATGCTGTGGTGTCCCTTCCTCTTTGTATAAGGACACCAGTCCTAAAAGATTAGAGTCCCACCCTCAGGACCTCATTTAACTTTAATTACCTCCATCAAGACCCTGTCTCCAGATATGGTCACATTGGGGCTCAGGACTCCGACCTATGAATTTTGAAACACACAGTCAAGTTCATAACACCATCCCAAGCAGCTTATTCCAGTGTTTTCTTCTGACCAGTTTCTTTCGCAGGACTCTCCCTGAGACAGGTCCTCTAAATTCACTTTCTCCTTCATTATATTTCTAGCGATGTTTTTGTGCCCCAGATGTTTGGGCACAAACAGATGTGAGTGGCTCTATCTTTAACCCACTCTGCCACACAAGAATACTAGAGCATTTTAGAGCCAAGCTCAGTATTCAAAGGACGAAAGTAGGTTTGTCTGGACATATGTATTTCTCTAAGTGATATCTTTGGGCTTGGGACTATGAAGATTTTGACAAGACACCCCCATTATCCCTAGACTTCTTAACTCTTTGAGACTAATAAACCTCTTAATAATATGTGCACAGATTTCAGTGTGTCTTTGAATATTTGACATTGCAGCCAAAATGTGGTACATATGTGCACTTATGGATTTTTCTAGTAACAAGGAGCAAAACTTTTCTTTAGCTTCTCCCAGGGGTCCATGACTCCACCAAGATTAAGACCAAATACTCTTTATTACTTTATGGCAAATGATAGTGTGGATAGAAATACCTCTCTGTTGTGTATTTGTTTCCTAACGTAAAATTATTCCTTGACAAGGAAGGCAGCATCCTTTCTCCCTATATGTGACTTAACTTAATGCGAAAGTTGATAGTTCTTATGTATTTCTTAGAGCAACCTAGAATTTTAAAGGAACACTTTGTTATTCACTTATTTTTGCCTCTTTTTTTTTTTTTTTAACATACTGCAATCTTCTAGGAAGGTGTTCAACACATGCCTTGAAAAGTTAAGTAAAATAACCTCAGCAATTCTGAATAAGATTCATGGCAACTATTCATTTTCACAGGCTTTTTAAGACATTTTTCATTCCTTCTCTAAGCTCCACAAATAAACAGTTCGGCAAAGAATTGAGAATGGAGCCAAAACTTCAGCAGTGACAAGGAAAAGACATCAGTGTTAATCCTATTAATGGCAGTTGCTAAAAATTTAAAGAGGTCAGGATTCTTTCAAGAGAAGCCGGTTTGGAGGCACCCGGAAGTCTCAAGAGTGTCTGACTCTTCATTTTGCTCAGGCTGTGATCTCACAGTCCATGAGTTCTAGCCCCACATCGGGCCATGCACTGAGAGTGCAGAGCCTGCTTGGGATTCTTTCTCTCTCCCTGTCTCTCTGTTCCTTCCCTGCTTGTGATTGCTCTCTCTTTCCAAATAAATAAATAAACTTAAAAAAAAGAGAAAGAGAGAGAGAGAGAGAAGCAGATTTAAACTTCATTGTGAGCAACTGGGATCTGTTAACTCTTGCCTCTTTTTAAGTTCCAAACTTTAAAATGATAAAATAATTTTCATAAATAACGTGTGCAGGATTTGCAGGTGCTCAGTCTAGTTTGGGTTCCCCAGCCTATGCTGACATTGACGTGGCATCTAAGTCCTTGAGATGCTCTCAGTTCCCCATCTGCTGTGTGTGACTATTGATTCTTTTCTGCTTCCTTTCTGTTAAACCTCAGATGTAATGCTACCGTGAATACACAAATCACAGGCCTTCAAGGGCTCAGAGAGCTGTAGGTGAATTAGGACATTATGTAATCAGGCAAACATAATTATAGCATCAGAGGAAGACATCCTACCCTCATCAGATGGGGCTGTGAGTCCACGTGAGGCTCACCCGTGCTTTTTTGTAGATGAGTGCAATCATTGCAAACTAAGCATTTTTTGGTATATATCCACAGCAATTCCTAATGACAAGAGATCACTCAGAAAACAGTAATGAATGCCACACATTTGCAGAGGGGTTATTTGGATCCTCAGATGGGCAAAACTGATTGCTTGATGCTTTCTCTCCATAACAATGTTCTCCTTTCCCTCAGGATGTTGAGAAGTAATCGCATAAGCTGTGTTGGCAATGACAGTTTCATAGGACTGAGTTCTGTGCGTTTGCTTTCTTTATATGATAATCAAATCACTACCATTGCACCAGGGGCATTTGATACTCTGCATTCTTTATCTACCCTGTAAGTATGAAAGATCTTCTTCATTTCTGTATTACTGAGCCAATGTATTATATTTGTTCCTTTTATTAATAGCATTTTAATACATTATTAGGCTTTTCACAAAAATGGGATCAAGGGTTTAGTGTTCAACAAATTTGTATGTTAAATTTATGTTAATTTTTCTAAAAATATTACCTACCCTCTCATATTAAAATTTAACAAAATTTATAATATTTTCAATTATTTTTATAGTAATGTGATGTGACTTGATTTATAAATTTTAATCTTATAACTTGATTGCACTGCAAATCACAGAAATGTAGTAGATTTCCCCAGTGTTTTCACGTTGGAGTCTTTTCGGTGTAAATACCATAAAAACAGAGCTGATAGGGTTATTGCCAACAAACTATGCTCAAAAGGATCATTCACAGTGACAGGAGCGACATTAGGATGGCCAGACCAACAACAGAGACTGTTCACTGGAGGGCATTTACAATGATATTAGGAAAATATTGAAGAAATAGGTTGAGCCTGTCCAAGAGGATATTTTATGTAGACAGTTAGAAAATAAAGAATATTTGTAGGTCCATAGATAGAACTCAGAAGGTGTTGTTTTAAAAAAAGAAACAAACAAAACCCTCTAAACAATATATTTTAGTTCTCTTATATGTCATTATCTAAAGAGCAGTATTTGAAATAATAAATCTTATAACAGATTTGATTTCCTAGTGATGGTGGCATCTAAATATACTAATCTAACTGGAAAGGTAGTTAGAAAGGAAAAACAAAACAGAAAACATGTTCAACATAGCTCGAGTCACTGCAGAAATAATTTGAGGGAAGCATCCATCCATCAGTAAAGTACTTAATCCTCTTCTACATAAAATGTGACACTTTACATCGAGTGACTAATTTGTGCATATTAAAGATGGCATGTTTATAAATAATAAGGTTGTCAATAGGTTTGTGCTGAAGTGGTGAGATGCCAAAAGTATTGAGATTTGTAGAAGTAAATTCATTTTTATAACTGGTATTTAATCAACTCAGCTGTCAGTTTAGATGGGAAACCTATTCTCTGGAGCAAATAAGGGATGGAAATCTTGAAATGATAAATTAATAAAATAGCTGTTGTCAGGTTAAACTCAATAATATAAGGTAATCAGCCTCCATCTTTATATTAAATTACTGCATTATCAGTGCAGGGAAGTTTGACAGCAAATCAGATCTCTGACTAGTTTAAATTCTCTCTAAATGAGATATCTATCAGGATCCCCTGCATAAACCTCCGAATTGCTTACTTTGCTTTATTTTCTCCATGAAATTATTTGAAGATTCTTATTTGACAGTGTTGTTATTTTTCAAGTTCCAAGCAAACATTTTAGCCAAAAAAATGCATCCCACATGTTGCTTGTGATTGAGTATGAATGGGGGATGGGGGTGAGGGGTGGTTAATACAAAGAATCAGAAGGCATCATTCCAGCAGAAATAGTGTGGGAAAGATGGCAGCATGGGGTTTTGAGAGGTAAGAAAATGACCCCCTAAACTCACCCCTGCATTGTTTGCATGCGGCTCTTAGAAACCTGTTGGCCAATCCGTTTAACTGTAACTGCTACCTGGCTTGGCTTGGGGAATGGCTCAGGAAGAAAAGGATCGTAACCGGAAATCCTCGATGTCAAAAACCATATTTCCTCAAAGAAATCCCCATCCAGGATGTTGCCATTCAAGACTTTACGTGTGATGATGGTAAGAAAACCTTGCTAAATCTTTTGTTACCAAGCATTCAAATGACTGGTCCAACGCTAGGGGACACAAACGGATAGTTTGGGGCATTTTTTTTCTTTTGTTTTGTTTTGTTTTAGAAACAGGGCACATACTTTCTCAGACTGTGCTTTCACCTGAGTCTACTTGCTTTGTGTTTCTGAATGTTTTATTTAAATTGTCCAGTTTTCAACTTGTAGTTGGTACTGTTTATATAGCTTCATTTTAACTTTTCTTTATCATTCTAAGCATCTCTTTTAGTAACTGTCATTTGCAAAGGAGAAAAGCAATTGACTTAAAAAACAGAAATTCTAGGGGCGCCTGGGTGGCTCAGATGGTTGAACATCTGATTTCAGTTCACGTCATGATCTCACAGGTCATGAGTTCAAGCCCCGAATCAGGCTCTGTGCTAACAGCTCAGAGGCTGGAGCCTGCTTCACACTGTGTCTCCCACTCTCTCTGCCCCTTCCCCACTTGCACTCTGTCGAGCTCTCTCTCCCCCAAAAAATAAATAAATAAAATAAATTCTAGTAAATCTAACAAAAATAATAGTTTTCGCTTTTTAAAGCTCTATATGTATCATCATATTTGATTCTCACAATAGCCACATAAGATAGGTAGAGCAGGTTCTGTTATTACTACCAGTAAGTGGAGAGCCCCTTTGAGCCTTATATTTTAAAATGAGGGCCTTGAGGCGCCTGGGTGGCTCAGTCAGTTGAGCATCCGACTTTGGCTCAGGTCACAATCTCACAGTTCATGAATTCGAGCCCCACATCAGGCTCTGTGCTGACAGCTCAGATTCTGGAGCCTGCTTCAGATTCTGTGTCTCCCTCTCTCTCTGCCCCTCCCCTGCTCACACTCTCTCTGTCTCTTTCAAAAATAAATAAGCATTTAAAAACATTAAAAAACTTAAAAAACATTTACATTTTCTGCTAAACATTTTAATCCCTCTATGTTTCTTCATGTCTGTGTCCTTATGACTCCTCCATAATTCAGTTTACATTTCTATATTCTAATTAAAAGTATAATTTGTATAAATAACTGAGCAGAGAAAATTACTGTTATGATTGTATGGATAATATACATTGTGAATTATTTTCGGGAATCCTGCCCTAGGCAATTTGAAAACAGTGCTGTACAAAACGTATGGTACCAGTTTGTAAATACTCAATGCCCTCTATGTGTATAAGCGATCACATGACTCAAGATTCTTGTGTTTGTTAAGCTAAAAGCATAACATCGCTTCTGTCATTTTCAAAGCCACAAACCTGGGCTTTCCTGTATTTCTTTCGGCAATTTAGGAAATGATGACAATAGCTGTTCTCCACTGTCTCGCTGCCCCACGGAATGTACATGCTTGGATACAGTCGTCCGATGTAGCAATAAGGGCTTGAAGGTCTTGCCCAAAGGTATTCCAAGAGATGTCACTGAATTGTAAGTAGAGCTTGTCTGTTTCCTTAACAATTAATATTTCAACAAGGGAAATGGAAACCAAACAAAATGTAGAGTCCCGTTTCCAAATTCCATTCTGTAGGCATTAAATAGTTTCATGTAAAACCCTAAACAGATAATATAAAAGGCAGCTTAGGGGCATCTGGGTAGCTCAGTAGGTTAAGTATCCAATTCTTCTTGATTTTGCCTCAGGTCATGATCTCACAGTTTGTGAAATCAAGCCCCACATTGGGCTTTCAGCCAACAGCAGGGAGCCTATTTAGGATTTTCTCTGCCCCTCCCCTGCACTCTCCCTCAAAATAAACAAATAAACAATTTTTTACAAAAAGGCAGTTTAGATGCACTTGGGAAATTTCAGTTGTGTTTCTTTTATTCACTGCATGATTTCTCAGTGTCTATGTTATGCTAAGGTGCACTGTGACACTCCAAGAGAGGGTGGTAAAATATAAGATAACTCCAATACTCATTTGCCTGTATATCCTTTTTCTCATAGACTATCTTGCAAGACTAATGTTCTAGCAAATACACCTTAGGAAATGCTGTACTTTTAGTTGCTCTACAGTGTCTGGGATATTCCATAGTTTATATGGTTAATTATTCTTTACCACTGTATCTTCCCACGTGGAATTCATAAATATCTAGAATATAGAAGAAGCTAGCATAATCTCTGTGTTAAAAAGAGGTACTGCCCTTTGGCCTTGAATTAGAATCCTTTTGATCATAAAAGGTGTAAGGCCAATTATCCCTAACATTTTCATAACTGATTTATGACCACATATTGCATGGTCAATATACACTTATCTAGACACTAAACACCAGGCACACTTTCTTCTCTGTGTCATGTTATATATGTGGAACAGAATGAGAACAAGCTGCTTGAGTATTATGAAGCCTGAATGCTCCTTTCCATTCCATACTCTGTATATTTATGTACCATGGACAAATGCTCGATACGAATGCACTTGACTCATTTTGCCTATTTATTTTCTCTATGTGAAACTGTGTAGCAAAAATGATTTAAGTTTAGTGATGGCTCAGTTGGTTGAGCATGCAATTCTTGATTTTGGCTCAGATCATGATCCCAGGATCATGAAATGGAGTCTGTGTCAGGTTCCATGCTAGAAGTGTGGAGACTACTTGGATTCTCTCTCTCTCTCTCTCTCTCTCTCTCTCTCTC